ACCTGAGGGTGTGTTCCAACCAGAGGCGGAGCTGGCCTAAATGGCGCCCTGTGTGAGATCCCCCTGTGACACCCCCCCCCCCCCCACACACACACACACACACGAAAAAACATTACACCTACAACTTTGTTTCAAATTGCGTGGAGTGTATATATAACAACGTTTGCTAACTGAATACAACATCCAGCTCCTGGCCACCTTCTCACCACTTGTCAAAGTTCTACTGAAATAGTGATGATGACAACACCTGCCATCGCCTTCATTCCTGGGAAATATGAAAGTAGTTGGCACCTTAGTAGGTCCTCTTCGAACTAGCTCTGTGCGTATGCTGTCGGTAATTGGTGATGACCACTTGGCTGGGTCTGAAGAAAGCTCATTTCCCGATTCCAAAAAGAAAGAATGGTCCTACCAGCTCGCCACTTCAATATGAAGAAGATCAGTTCAACATGGGGAAAAAAACCTGACCTGTAGGCCAGAGAAACGTTCATTAGCACATCAAGTTCGATTCAGTTTACCGGTAAACATATCACGAATGTACAACAGGTCAATTATTAATCATCTTGGCTACGTAGCTCAATCTATACATTCCAGTAGCGTTTGCTACAAACAAATACAAAAACAACAATAAAGGAAAACAACTGTCTGACAGACAGCATAGCCGAATTCAAGGCAACACATAACAATAATCATTCGATTGCTCTTGGTTTCAAGTTAAGCCCATTAAAGTGCTTAAGTAAATAAAAGTGTTTCAAAAACAGCGTTTTTGAACCGGAGTTCTGCTCGCGGTGGGAACTCCGCCGAACAAGGTCATTTTTATAGCGAAAACGATCGACTGGTCACTGACAAGTAAAAGGGTGTTATTGGTAGATGTTAAGAACACTTACCGCTGAGGTAAAATGAGAGTATAAATGAATTGAGGGGAGAAAAACGCTTTGTTTTCCAACGCCGTTCTACAAGCAACAAGCTTACAGCCACAGCAGGAGTCAAGCCCGGGAGTATTCCCCCACAGCCAGCTTTCATGGTTTCCGCGACATGGAAGGAGCCAATCAGGAGAGGGACCTCACATCAGCTGACGTGGGTCATGTGACAGGGAGTAGTTGATATGGGTTACACTTAGTTGAGCTTTTATTACAGAAATATTATTATTATCATCACTATTATTATTAAGAACATGTGAATTCTATGTTTTGTTTATGCATTGGTTGATGCTAAAAAAAAATTTTTTTTAGGAAAAAAAAAGGAAATTAAATGCCGCCCCCTGCAGACTGCCGCCCTGTTCAGCCGCACATGTTGCACATATCAAGCTCCGCCCCTGGTTCCAACTATAGGGGGATCCCACTCCTCAGCCTCCCTGGAAAGGTCTACTCCAAGGTACTGGAGAGGAGGGTCCGACCGATAGTTGAATCTCAGATTGAGGAGGAGCAATGTGGTTTTCGTTCTGACCGTGGAACTGTGGACCAGCTCTATACCCTTGCAAGGGTGATGGAGGGGGCATGGGAGTTTGCCCAACCAATCCACATGTGTTTTGTGGATTTGGAGAAGGCTTATGACCGTGTCCCTAGGGGCACTCGTTGGGGGACACTCCAGGAGTATGGGGTGGGTGGCTTTCTGTTAAGGGCCATTCAGTCCCTTTACCAGCGGAGCGTGAGTTTGGTCCGCATAGCCGGTAGTAAGTCGGACCTGTTCCCGGTGAGGGTTGGACTCCACCAGGGTTGCCCTTTGTCACCGGTTCTGTTCATTGCCTTTATGGACAGAATTTCTAGGCGCAGCCGTGGTGTGGAGTGTGTCGAGTTTGGTGGCAGGAGAATCTCGTCTCTGCTTTTTGCGGATGATGTGGTCCTCCTAGCTTCATCCAGCTCTGATTCAGCTCTTGCTGGGTAGGTTCGCGGCTGAGTGTGAAGCGGCTGGAATGAGGATCAGCACCTCCAAATCTGAGACCATGGTTCTCGACCGGAAAAGGGTGGCTTGCCAACTCCGGGTCGGGAGAGAGGTCCTACCTCAAGTGGAGGAGTTCAAGTATCTCAGGGCCTTGTTCACAATTGAGGGTAGGAGGGATCGGGAGATCGACAGGCGGATCGGCTCAGCGTCTGCAGTGATGCGGAAGCTGAGCCGATCTGTTGTGATGAAGAGGGAGCTGAGCCAGAAAGCCAGGCTCTCGATTTACCGGTCGATCTACGTCCCAATCCTCACCTATGGTCATGAGCTTTGGGTAATGACCGAAAGAACGAGATCGCGGATACAAGCGGCCGAAATGAGTTTCCTCCGTAGGGTGGCCGGGTTCAGCCTTAGAGATAGGGTGAGGAGCTTGGACATTCGGGAGGGACTCGGAGTAGAACCGCTGCTCCTCCGGATCGAAAGAAGTCAGTTGAGGTGGTTAGGGCATCCGGTCAGGATGCATCCTGGACGCCTCCCTGGGGAGGTGTTTCGGGCATGTCTTGCTGGCAGGAGGCCCCCGGGTCGACCCAGGACACGTTGGAGAGGTTACATCTCCAATCTGGTCCGGGAACGCCTTGGGGTCCTGCCGGAGGAGCTGATGGAGAAGGCCGGGGAGAGGACGGTCTGGAGCTCCCTAGTTGGGATGCTGCCCCGCGGCCCGGACCCGGAAAAGCGGAGGAAGACGACGGCTTTACAACTGCTAAGTCCATCCATCCATCCATTTTATGAACCCGCTTGTCCATGTAGGGTCGCGGGGGTGCTGGTGCCTATCTCCAGACTAATCAACCTGACTGTCATGATTTTGGACTGTGGGAGGAAACCGGAGGACCCGGAGAGAACCCACACATGCACAGGGAGAACATGCTAACTCCATGCAGAAAGGCCTCGGGCCGGGAGACAAACCCAGGACCTACTTGCTGCAAGGCAACAGCTCCATAGAACTACAAAGTCTGACTGGGGGAGGGAGTAGGTCTGCTCTGTGGAGGGAGGTGGAGTTTGCAGCTCCTTCTCCAGATTTAAAGAGACAGTACCCAAAAACGGCTCATTCTCAGACTCCTCAGAACAGGGGTATATGAGGGGTCTGTAGAGCAGCAATAATGAGGAAATCAGACCAAGAACTGCAGTTCCACTGAGTTTAGACCCCAACTGAATGATTTAGATGTAAAAATGAAGAATTTAAAAGGATGATATGTCTCCTTTACGGCTTTAAGAGTCAGTCTATTTATTCCTTTTATTTGTTTGAGCTGGAGTTAGCATTCACATGCTCATCAGGAATGGTCTTTCCTTCATTTGGAAGCGATACACATACCTCTGTGTTTACCGGCATTAACCTGTAAATTTCCTCCATGATGCACAGCGCCAGGAGGTGAACGGCCAGAGCAGCGTGAATCAAAAGCTGTATCCAACAAGGCCCAAGCAGCACGTTCAGGACCCAAACACCACTTCAGGACTCACTCCAGCGTGGTCTCCAACAGGACTCGACCCACCAGTGCCTCCAACAGGACTCGACCCACCAGCACCTCCAACAGGACTCGACCCACCAGCACCTCCAAGTCAGAGTTAAATGTAACTTTGGCATCATCTGTAAAGTAAGTTTGGAGCCAACTACCATGCATTTAGTTTTTCCTGCATTAATCACTGGTTTGTTAGCAGTTATCCACTGCTCGACTGTCTTAACTCTTTATTAAATATTTCATTCAATGCACCCTATGTATGTGCTGAAGCTAAAGCAGTTATGTTATCTGCATATACTGCTGTAGTTGCATGTTGCAGCACCCACGGAAAATCATTCAAAAAAATAGAAAACAAAAGAGGCCCCAAACAACTTCCCTGTGGAACACCACATTCCATCTGACCTTTTTCAGAAAAACTTCCATTGAAATAAAATGTATAATCTCTATTAGTAAGATAACTTTTAGTCCAGTTGAGAGCAGACATATGAAATCCATAGTGTTTAAGTTTTTGTAATAAAATATCATGATCTAAAACATCAAAAGCCGCACTTCCATCAAGAAATATAGAACCAATTAGCTTATTATCGATTCTCTAAGCAATAATCAGTTATTTGAGTCAGTGCAGTAGTGGTTGAATGATTCGTTTTGTAAGCATGTTGATATATTGTGTTCAATTCATATACCTCAAAATAATCTTGAATTTGGTCATATGCAATTTGTTCCATGATTTTACTTAAAGCTGGTAGCAAACTTATTGGTCGACTGTTTTGACCAGTGGAGAATAATATGGACTAATTTTGTTACATGTGAGTGCTTAAATGTCCCTTTCGGTTCTTTCCTGAAATTCAGAAACATCGATTGCTATACCTTTAAGTAGGAAATAGTACTCTTTCCACCTCAGGTTGCACCTAAGACATTACAAAAACAGAAAGAATGGAACAAATAAGCTGGATTAGTTGGTACCATTGCCGGTGGATGAATCTTCCTTGGTTTGGGAGTGAAGTGAAGCAGCTAGACCGATGGAAGTGGCGGGTTTTGTCCAGTTTGCTGAGTGCCACATGAAGCTAACCTGCTTTTGCTACCTTTCCATCCAATGCTTACCCTGTTAGCGTTAAACAGCAAAGTAAAACCTTCTAACTTGTACATGAACTTTTTCTATGTCACAGTGAAACTTGGATTTGTAATTACAGAAAGTAAAATGTTATGTGTAGATGTGCGAGGGAGAGCCGCTACACCGTGCAGTGGAGCTAGATGAACTCTGGAATCGGTGAGCAAATCTTATGCTGTTATTTCAAATAAGTTTGCACTATTTTACCTGAAAAACGTTAAAAACAGTTCATTGTACATATTCTGGTTAATAACTGTTGCACAAAAGTCTGATTTTTGAGAAAACCAGATTTATACTTTTGCTAACTGTGAATCCGAGTTTCCAATTGTATTTGGATGTCAAACAATATGGATAACATAGGTATTAATTTTTGATCAGGTTTATTTGCATGACAGATAATTACATGAGTGGATTAATCTGGTGACTTTGATGGCGAGCCTTCTCACTTTGCAAAACATCAGCATTTACGTTTAAACTCCAGAAACAGCAAACAAAAAACTGAATAGTGAACAAAGAGATTTAATAAAACACTTTAGTGGCAAAAAACATTTCATTTTCAACCTTTTTTTCTCCAAAAACAAAACATTTAATATAACTACTGCCTTTCCTTTTAGGTAAAAGAGCTTCCAGATCAGTAGCACATTTCATTCAACACCCTTAGAAGTCCCAAAATATATATTTTATGTATGTTTCATTAATTTGGTCCTGTGTGCTCTCGCGTGAAAGTTTAAACTTGTCTTTTGAGCAAATCTTTTTCCACAGAGCTCACAAGCAAAAGGCTTCTGTCCTGTATGGACTCTCATGTGAGTGTTTAAACTTGATTTTTGGCCAAACCTTTGTCCGCAGAGCTCACAAGCGAAAGGCTTCTGTCCTGTGTGGACTCTCATGTGAATGTCTAAATTTCCCTTTTGGGTAAACCTTTGTCCGCAGAGCTCACAGGTAAAAGGCTTCTGTCCTGTGTGGATTCTCATGTGAATGTCTAATTTTCCCTTTTGGGTAAATCTTTGTCCGCAGAGCTCACAAGCAAAAGGCTTCACTCCTGTGTGGACTCTCATGTGAATGTCTAAATTTCCCTTTTGGGTAAATCTTTGTCCACAGAGCTCACAAGCAAAAGGCTTCTGTCCTGTGTGAACTCTCATGTGTGTAGCTAAATTTCCCTTGCGTGTGAATCTTTGTCCACAGACCTCACAGGCAAAAGGCTGCTGTCCTGTGTGGACTCTCATGTGACTGTTTAAACTTGACTTATCACTAAATCTTTTTTCACAGAGCTCACAAGCAAAAGGCTTCTGTCCTGTGTGGACTCTCATGTGTGTGTTTAAACTTGACTTTACACTAAATCTTTTTTCACAGAGGTCACAAGCAAAAGGCTTCTGTCCTGTGTGGACTCTCACGTGTGTGTTTAAACTTGACTTTACACTAAATCTTTTTCCACATAGCTCACAGGCAAAAGGCTTCTGTCCTGTGTGAACTCTCATGTGAATGTTTAAATTTGATATGCAGCTGAAACTTTTTCCACAGTCGTCACAACTAAATGATTTTAGTTTTGTCTGAACTTTCCTGCTAGAGTCTACATTTTGCTTCACTCTAACACATTTCTTATCAACACAACAGCTTGAAGACTTCAGTCCTGAATGACTTGTCACTCTCATGTGTTTCTGGAGAGACCGCTCATGGAGAAACTGTTCACCACACTCTGGGCAGCTGAAAGATTTGACAGCCTTAACATGTGATTTAGAAGACCTGCTCTGCTTCCAGTCTTTGTTATGATCTTTGGTGTTTGGCTCAGAATCTGACAAGAGTTTCAGTTGACAGTCAGAATTGTTGCCATCCTGGTCATCATCTTCATCATTGCTGACTTCAGTCTCTGAAGAGTTAGAATCATATTCATAAAGATTTAGATCTGGATTCCTGGTAGTTTCTGCTCCTCCACAGTCCTCTCTACCACTTTCTGCTTTCATCTGGTCAGTGATGCTGTTGGTTGGAAGATCTCTGTCTTTAGGTTGGTTCTGATCAAACTGTGACAACAGAACTTCTCTTCCTTCTTCCTTAACCTGATGAGAAACTGCAGAGAATGAAATGTTGGTGGCATCAGTTTTAATCTCATCAAGCTGCTCCTCCTCTTCCTGCTTCACGTTGAGGGGCTCCATGTCCTTCTGGTTCAAAGGAGGCCTCAGTTCTTCAGGAGCTCTTCCTTCTTCCTGAAACTGACACAAAAATGCAGAGAATGAATTATCACAGTTTAAAATGAATTTAAATATAACAAAACTTTAAAATGTATTTTACTTTGAAAAACCAGTACTGCCGTTTTTCCCAGTTTTCAAAGGAGCCGGCTTCTGTGCGGTGCGCTGCTCTCACGAGTTAAAGAAAACTACAGGGAGAGAAAAGGTGGAAGAAAGGAACCTTACGTTAGAAGAAGGCATTTTTAGTTCAGACCTGTGAAAACCAGCTTCATGCTAACGCACGCTGCTACATGTGAACAGTAACGTAGTCAATGTGGTCTGAAGGTTTTGACTAAGGGTCAAAGGAGATTGTTTCAAAAGAGGATTCTTTCCCGATTTGGCCGAATTGGGAACCAGCTGAAAACCGAATTAATCGGGAAGTAATTCTTGTTTTAATAAACCACAATGTTATGATTTCCAGCCATTCTGGCAAATCAGAAGGGGCCATGTCTGGAAGGCTTTACCAAAACATTCCTCAGAAAGCCACGCCTTCCTTCAGATACAAGATTCTTAATTCTGTGAATAAAGAATCTTTAAACGTTATGTGAGGTGAACCTTAACCTTAACTTGTATCTTATGAAGATGTGTGTGAGTGTAGATAATGATTAACTTGTTAAATCAAACACAGTGATTTGATTGTAAGAACAAAATTCATTTCATATTCATTGATTTAAGCACAGGTTATTCAAACATTTGATGTAAACATCTTGTTCATTCATCACATATGATCATTTATATCATAAGTTGTAAAAGCCTTGTAGGATTTGTGTGGATTCACTTTAATTCAGAGTGAGTAATCCAGAAGTCTGACTTTAAGCAGAGATAAGGTTTTTGTGGGAGACCTTGGCAGTTTATTCATGTCTGCGTTGAAGAACAATAAGTGAGCAAAAGGTTGATCTGTGCGTCTGAATCCTCCAGCTGGTGTAACCGTGACTTTGTAGCTCTGGCGTGTATGAAAGGTTACTGTGTCAATTTGATGGTGAAAATTGACCCTTTTTATTCATTACCCCCACGACACCCAGATTTATCCACAGATGAACCCCTGGCTATCAGCTGCCTCTCACCACCAGCTCCACAAACAAATCAGCAACAAGTAGCAGCAGGAGGCCACGAACCCACGAGCCCTACGCAGGTCTTTTCTGTATACGCTGTAACTCTTTCTTTTGCACTTTGAGATTGCTCTCTGCAATAACATATTTAGCTAGCACTTTCACATAATAAAGTACGGAGTTTTTAAGTGGTTTAGCATTATTTATAATCTATTCTAAAGTTTCAGTTTTCACAGAAAAATGTTGCAACATTGTTTGCTATTGGTGCAAAAAAAAACACATTTTACCAGATAGGATGAATGATCGTGATTACAATATTGATCAAAAACAATCGTGATTATTATTTTGGTCATAATCGTACAGCCCTAGTACATATGTGACAGTGTGAGCGTCCTGTCACAGTGTCCCGATTGATCATGCGCCCTGGCTACTTGGCCAAGGGGATGTCCCTTTGGCTGACTGGTTAGAGCGTATGACTCTCACCCGGGAGTCTGGAGATCGAATCCCGCCCGGGCCCTCGTTTATCCACCTTGCCACACATACATGTACCTTTGTTATTATTTATTCTTCTAATTATTCTTTTAAGTGTTGGTGTAGCTGTAACAAGCACATTTCCCCACTGTGAAATAAATAAAGTCTATTCCATTCCATCAATTCAAATTTCATGAATTGATTCGATTCCAATTCTCAAGAATTAAAATCGATTATCACAATTTGATTTGATATATGGGGTCAGTGATCTCTTCTTTTCAGGAGATGTGGTGTTCTTAACTCATTCACTGCCAGCCGTTTCCTGATTGGTAAAGCCCTTCGCTGCCAGTGTTTTTCAGCGTTTTTACTGTTTTTTTAAGAGTCACAGAACGTTGCGCACTATGATGATGTCGATGTCAAAAAAACCAAAAAAAAGAGGAGACTCACCTCTTACATCAGGAAGAATCCGCGCGTTTCGAGCGTTATCCATTCTTTCATAATCCGTTGTTGAATTGTGATCAGCACAAGCTTTTCCGGTTCGCGCCTCACTTTTTATACAGCAGCGGCCCAAAACGATCTCCTAACACACGGATGTTCTGCTTCCTGATCAGGTGACGTGTGACGTACGTGGTTGAAGACTGGCTTTAGAGCTGGGATGTTTGTTCTCACGGTGCGGGGGCTCGTTCCAATGGCCACACAGTAAAAAAAAATGCAAATTGGCAGTGAACGGTTGGATTTAAAAGGAACTCTGGCTGTAGGAGCCATTTGTGTATTGTCTGATTTGCATTTTTCCTAAGCCAAGTGACAGGACCAGGGCCTGAGTGGTAGCCACTCCCGCTTATTTAATCTGGGAAGCAGTTTCTACTGCGTGGCGAGGACTGGGTGGCTGAGGGATCACAAACGCACGGACAATCAGGGGCAGGTAAACATATAGAAATAAAATTGTGCCTGTGTAACTGAATCATGGACACTTACAAAGCAATAAACATGTTAACAGCACATTCAAGCTGAGAGTTCTTTAAACGCATGTAAAACTTCGTCCACGTCAGTAACCAGTAGCGTCAGGGGGCATTGGGCCTGGGCGTTACAAACACCGGCTATGAGGACGTGTGTGCCCTGATAAGCCACAAGTTTTCTGTTGTACCAAACTATGTTGTTAGAAACACACAAAATATTACTGTTTATTTATAAATTTGTAATATTTAGTACATTTGTTGACATACGTAGGACGCCATGTTTGCACTCTGGGGGCGATGACGTACATTGGTTGCTCTTGGAAGAACAGCTATTGACGCTGGTGTTTGTTTACGCTCTCAACGTATTGATTACTAAGTAGAATGCTGCATTGTGCTGCTTTTGGATGTAATTTCCAGTCAGAGGGCAACAAGGGGAGTGATGTGAGTTTACAGCTTTCCCACTGGCAACAAGAGGAGAAAGCAGTGGGAAGATGCCTGTGGACGGACACAACTTCCCAAAGATCTGCGGCTGTGTTCCCAACATTTTTCTCCTGATGCGTTTGAGGCTTATAGTCGACCACGACTACTTAAAGAGCTCACCAGAGCGGCTGGGTATAAGAGAAGGTGGAAACTAAATGCTTTAGCGACCATTTTCCCACACAAGGAGCCTAAACGCCGTCGGAGGGACGAGAGACGCTGGACGCTGTCCTGAGCCGACAACCCGCTCCTGCAGCTGCCGCTTCTGTCACGTTCAGCCAACCATCGGACACGCCACTCGTCACGGATGAAGCTGAACGTTCACCTCTCCCGTCAGTAAAACAAGCAGCAAGTGTAGCAACACAGTGTTGTCCACATATAGAATATCTGCAACAATGATTAAAGTGGTTTCACTGAACATCCTAATCATCTATGAAGCACACGACAGCTCTGGATGCTAAAATTCTCCTAAATCATTCATGAATAAATCTGATCACACGATAGCTTACAGATAACTTCTGCTGACACAAATGTGAGCTCTCTCCCTCTCGGTTACCATGGAGACGCATTTGCCGTACACGCTCCACCGGTTCTGTCCTGCTCTCGCTTCATCCCGCCCTTCTTGCTCTTCATGTTGATGCTCGTTTTGTGACACATGGTCAGTGATGTCATCATTAATGTTTCGCTCTGGTTCAAAGTGAAAAGGCTGAACAGATGACGTGTTGATGTCGCTCAACAGTCACTACAGGGTCCCAAAGCCGCCGGTGCAACCGAGGTACAACCATATGACGTCACTACCCAGAGTGCAGTGCGACGCTAACAACAATGGCGACCTACGAGTTAAACTATTTTTACTAATTTTATAAAGATTAAGACATCAAGAAGGTTTTTTACACCATTTTAATATAACTGATCCTAACATTTATCTTTTAAGAAGCACAGAGTTTTGTAACCTGGGTTCCTTTTAAAATGACAACTTTTGTCGCCAATGGCAGTGAATGAGTTAATGATGATGAGGGTGGCTCCTAGAGGCTGAGGTGTAGGGCTAAAGTGTCATCACTCACTTTGGTCTGGTCCAGACGCCGTCTCTTTACTGGTGCTCCTCAGTAGGTGACGTGAAGCTCCAACATCTGAGCGTTCTGTGTTCCTCAGAGGAGAAGAAAAGTAACATTAGCACTGGCTACATTATTTTTACTAGCATCTCAAGGCCTTGGAGAAGCAGATCTTCACTTACCTAAACATCAGACCAGTTTGTCCCAGCTGAGCTCATCAGGGCGTTAGCCTGACAGCCTGTCAGTGAAACACGGCTCCAGTCTTCTGGATGTGGACTCTACAAAGCAAAGCAGCATTTTTACTGTTGTTTTCATTATTTTACAGCTGATTTGATCAGATTTCTGACGCTCATACCTGAAATTTGTGGCTTTGCAAAATAAATTGAATGCTAAAATTTCTCAAATGCTGTGTGTGGTTGTATTTTGTGTATGTACAGTAAAAAATGACGTACAATTGCATTAATGTTTTTCAACATGGTGTGGGTGGTAAACTGTATCTACCATACAACACTGGGAATATTACGCAAGTATGTTGGACTGTACGTGGCCCCTTGATGGCCCCACCCTCAGAAAAATCCTTGATCTGCCACTGGTACCTGGGTCCATGCTATCCAGAACACACACACACACACACACACACACACACACACACACACACACACACACACACACACACACGCCATTTCATTTATTCATAAAGTCCCTTCTGCGACCAATGCAGACGCCCAAGGCGCTGAACACAACACAATAAAAACATAAAACTATCAGAATAAAATATAACAATCGTAAAACCAGCATAAAATCAATTAAAAGAGGATAGTAAAAGCAAAAAATAAAATCCTGAAAACGATTAAGAGGCCAGGGCATCGAAACCGGGTAAAATTTGCTAATCCTGGAATGCCTTGACAAAAAAAAGGGTCTTA